CACAATTATCGTCAAAATTTCACTTCTCAGGTAAGCAATGGCTTGCCCTAACTTGTTATTAAAGAGATTGAAAATGTTTGAAGTCTTGTCGACTTATATAATTGCAGTCTAGTCAGCTTATATGATTGGTTATTGTGGGATGAACAATTGCACAGGCGCACATAGTAATTGTATTGGAAATTGTAATTGTGTGATGATTGAGATATTTTGTAATTATTTTTTAGGTTAATCATTGGACATTAGATACAGACTCATACACTATGCCTCCTAAATATGAGTCTGGTGCTCAAAAGAGGAAAAGAAAACGAAATGAAATTGCATTGATTCAAAGTCAAGTAGGGGATATTAACAAGTACTTCAAAAGCAACAATGTGAATAAGTTGAATGATGATGAAGTAGAGATTCAACATGCCCATGTTAATGAAGTAGATAGTACGGATGAAGAAGTGAGTCAACCTGACTATATTAATGAAGTAGATGATAAAGAAGAAGAAGTGATGAAACTCGCCTCTAATAATGAAGAAGACGATAAGGAAGAAGAGGGTTCCTTTTCTCTAAATTTGGATGATCCCGGGAATTGGAAAATCACTGATTAGAAAACAAGAGATTACTTAGTTGAAAGGGGTCCAAAAAGAGTTGATAACATCTCATTTTCAAAAGATTGTACAAATAGACATTTCGATTCTTCACAATATAAGCTACTGCTACAAAATGGGCAAACAATTGATAGAAGATGGCTAGTATATTCAATATCTATGGACAGGATCTTCTGCTTTTGTTGCAAGTTATTTAAAACATCCAAAAATGTTACCAAAGTTGATCAACTAGGTAATGATGGATTCAAAGATTGACATAATTTGCATCGGTCTATTAAAAGTCATGAAGGAAATGAAGACCATTTATGTTGCATGAATGGCTTGATTGAATTGGAAAATAGGTTTCGAACAAAAACTACGATTGATAAAAGCATTGAATTTTTGATCGATGCAGAAAGAGAACATTGGAGGCATGTATTAACAAGGATAATCGCTATTGTTAAAAGACTCGCCATTGTTAAAAGACTCGCCAAAAATATCTTGCCATTTTGAAGAGATAATGAGAGACTAAATGTTGAGAATAATGGCCTATTTTTACAAATGGTGGATATGGTTAGTGAGTTTGATCCAGTAATGAAAGAGCACCTTCGGGGGGCTAATGCAAGAGAGATTCAATACATGTATCTTGGCAAAAAAATCCAAAATGAGTTGATACAGTTGTTAGCTATTGAGGTGAGAAATGCAATTGTCAAGAAAGTTAAACATGCAAAATATTTCGCGGTTATACTTGATTGTACTCCATATGCAAGTCGTGAGGAGCAGATGTCTTTAATAGTACGATTTGTAGATGATTCAGCAAACTTACCTACAGTTGAGGAACATTAGCTTGAATTTTTGAAGGTAGATGACACAACAGGACTTGGACATGCAACCGAGCTTCAAAAGGCTTTGATCAAACTTGATCTGGATATTGATGACATTAGAGGACAAGGGTATGATAATGGATCTAACATGAGCGGGAAGCACAAAGGTGTACAAAAAAGAGTACACGAAATGAATCCCCGAGCTTTCTATACTCCATGTAGTGCTCATAGTCTAAATCTAGCATTATGTGATATGGTGAATTGTTGTTCCAAATCTGTATCCTTCTTTGGAGTGATACAATGCATCTACACTTTATTTTCCTCTTCTACCAAGCGATGGAAAATTTTCAAAGATAATTTAAAAGGGTTAACGGTGAAGCCATTGTCACAAACACGTTGGGAAAGTCATGTTGAGAGTGTGAAGCCTATAATGGAGCAAATTGCACAGATAAGAGAAGCCTTACTTCATTTGGCAGAATCTAACGAAGATCCTAAAGTGAAGAGTGAAGCTGAGTCGTTAGCAACACATGAACTTCAGAATTTTGAGTTCTTGCTTGGCATAGTAATATGGTACAAGTTGTTGCATACAATCAATATTGTGAATAAATTTCTTCAAACCGAATCCATGGATATTGATCATGTTATCGATCTATTGCAAGGACTTTTTTTGAAGATTATAGAGAAATCGGATTTGCCGTTGCTATGGATGAATCAACAAAAAAGGCAAATGAAATGGGAATTGAAGTTGTATTTACTGAAAAACGCATAATTCGAAGGGAAAAACAATTTGATGAAAGCGGTAGTGATGAGGTAAAGTAATCAGCAGAAGAATCTTTTAGAGTTGAGTACTTT